ATTGTATTTATATGAAGTTCAAAACCAAGCTAAACAAAAATTAGTTTTGGATGAATGCCTCCAAAAGACTGTGTTAAAATTCACAGCAACTGCAGTGACCTTTAAATAGCTTATTTGAACACCTTCCTCCTCTGTGTCCTGTGTCAGGAGGAAATGATCCTTAGAAGGACAGTATTGACTCCTAGGGCATTTGAGGGCTTTTATTTTTTTGGTAGTCACAAGGATGGTAATCAGTGGGTGAGGACAGGGATAATATTGAATGCTGCTGCTGCTGCTAAGTCACTTCAGTCGTGTCTGACTCTGTGTGACCCCATAGACGGCAGACCACCAGGCTCCCCCATCCCTGGGATTCTCCAGGCAAGAATACTGGAGCGGGTTGCCATTTCCTTCTCCAATAGTTATCTCCAAATACACAAGATAGTCCCACACAAGGAAAGCTTGCCTCTATCCTGCACAACTTGTAACTAATGTCCTGGGCATTCATGCAGGTGAAATTTTTACAGAAATGAGCGCAAAATAAATCTTGGACCAAAATGTAAAACACAAAGAGATAAAACATCTAGCCAAAAGTGTTTACCTACAACACCAAAAGAATGATCCATGGAAGAAAAAAAATCAATAAGATGGACTGCATTATAATGAAAACCTCTGCTATGTGAAAGGAATTACTGAAAGAATGAAAAGACAAGCCACAGAATGAGAGAGAATATTTTCAAGACATGTATCTGATAAAGGACTTATATCCAAAATACACCAAGAACTCTCAAAACTCAACAATAAGAAAACAAACAACACAACTCAAAACTGGGCAAAAGATCTGAACAAAGACGTCACCAAAGAAGGTCTACAGCTGGCAAATAAGCATATGAAAAGATGGTCCTCATAACACATCATTAAGGAAGTGCAAGTTAAAACAATGAGAAACTACTACCTACCTACTGGACTGGCTACAACATAAAACAATGACAATATTAAATGCTGACAAGGCTGGGGAGCAACAGGAATGCTCATTCATTGCTGATAGGAATACAAAATAGTACAGGCATTTGAAAGACAGTCTGGCAGTTTCTTATAATACTAAACATACCTATACCACATGACCCAACAATTGTGCTCCTGGGTGTTTACCCAGCTGAACTGAAAACTTGTGGCCACACAGAACCTGAACATGAAAGTTTACAGAAGCTTTATATGTGATCCCCAAACACTGGAAGCAACCAACAGGTGAATGGAGAAACAAACTGTGAAAATCCAGAAGGTGGAATAGTATTCAATGACAAAAAGAAATGAGCTATTAAGGCACAAAAAGACATGAGAAATCTCAAATGCATATTGCTACATGGAAGGAGATAGTCTGAAAAGACTATATACTATGTGATTTTAACTATATAGCGTTTCAGAAAAGGCAAAACTATACTCACAGTAAAGAGATCAGTGGTTGCCAAGGGGTTGGGGGATGGAGGGAAGGGGTAAATATAAAGCACAGGGACCTTTTAGGTCAGTGAAACTATTCTACATGAAACTGTAACGGTGGACACATGACACTATGCACTTGCCAAAAGCCATGGACTATACAACACAGAGTGAATCTTAATGTAAACTACAGACTAGCTATACCAATATCAGTCCATCAATTGTAACAAAGGTACCACACTAATACAAGATGTTAGTAATAGCAGAAACTGGGGAATGAAATGCAAACGTGATTACGTGGAACTCTCTGTTCTATTGCTCAACTCTTCTGTGAATCTAAAACTGTACTAAAAATAAAACCTATTACTTAGTTTTAAAAATCATGTTTATAATTTTCTCTGCCTAGACTAACCACATTTCACATATGGATGCAATGTATTATTGGTAAGGTTCAAATATACACAGCACTTTTTGGTAACACAGCTACTCTCTACATAGAGGAACAGCTGCACCAGGCTTTGTTTGGAACTTTGCCAAGACTTGGTCACCATTTCAGAAAATCACATCACCGAGAGCAAACTAGCAGTCCCGCAGTGGCCGGTTTGCCTACATCGTATATGCATTATAAAAGCAGTGGCTATATAAAGAGGGGCCAGCATCAGATTGCTTCACTATGCCTGAGCATTAACATATTCAAACATGCATTATTCTTTATCCTGGGTAGTACAATCATGTATTTTATTGACATTAATTTTTGTGTGTATAGATAGGCTTTATGATAGGTGAATTTCATTGGAGGATAGTAACAGAATGCATGTTAGGAGGATGATTGGACTTTCCTGGTGGTAGAGTGGATAAGAATCTGCCTGCCCATGCAGGGGACATGGGTTTGATCCCTGGTCCAGGAAGATCCCACATGCCTCTGGGCAGCTAAGCCCATGGGCCACAACTACTGAGTCTGTGTTCTAGAAACACAACTACCGAAGCCCACAGCTTGTGCTCCACAACAAGAGAAGCCACCGTAATGAGAAGCCCGAGCACAACAACTGGAGAAAACTCACGCATAGCAACAAAGACCCAGTGTAGCCAAAAATAAATATGTAAATAAAACTTAAAAAAAGAATGGCTGAGCCAAACTCCTCCTTTAAAATGAAATCCACACTCCTTACTCAGCACTCGGTCATAACCAGACCGGCCGTTGGAGAGGCTCGTCCCCCACTCCTGCCCCGCCTGCCAAATGGATCTGTTTGCATGTCCCTGGACGTGTTGGCATTCTCATGTCCCTGACCTTGGTACGGGCTGTTCTCTTGGAGAAATGCCCTCATCGTCTTAGCATACTGCTTCACAAATGCAGTGTTTCTCAAACCTCAGTTCCTCATGTCTTTCCATGGAAACCTGTGCCTCAGCTGTGCCCACACCTGCAGCCCCAAATGGGGCTTCATTTTCTATAAATTTTCTATAAATTACTCATTTTTCATAAGTAAATTTTTTAAGTTATATTAAATGTATAAATAAATTCATCTTCAAGGAAAAGTATCTATTATAATAAATAGGAAACCAGCATAAGTAGCCCTAAAAATAAAGTAACTATAAAAACATAGAATGAAAGTTTTAATAAAAATTGTTAATCTCTATTTAGGTAAAATTGTCAGCAAAAACTCTGAGGTCAGTTCTGTGTGTGTGTGTGTGTGTGTGAGAGAGAGAGAGAGAGAGAGAGATTACCTAAATAAAGATTAATAAGTGTTAAAACGTTAGCACCACAATTGAGGCTTTCCTCTTTGTCATATTCTAAAAGGTTGAAAGCAAATTGAAGACACAGTAACTTTCTCAATCACTGTAATTTAAAGCCAACCCTGTTCTCTCTAAGATCACTTGCGTATCAGTGCAGTTCATTTATTAACCAAACATTTTTCAAGCATGTGTTATGTACCAGGCAGCTGCTCTAGACGTTTGCAATAAACGCCAAACTAAATAATCACAGTCTTTGCCTCACAGACTGGAGAAAACACACACACACGTAACCAGGAAATGGCCATAAAATGTCATTACTTATGAAAACAATTTGTGACAAAATTTCTCCAGCATCTCTATTACGCACGGCAACTGCAGAGAAAGCAAACCCTCTTGTAAATTATATGAGTTAGAGAAAATTAATTTCAAAAGTGCAATGGTTTATCATCTTTTCAAAGTTTTTCATGGAAAAAGGCTGGGAGCTGAATGCATGTTAATGTGTGATACGATGTGACGTGGGATCGTTGAAAGTCATATTTATTTATTAGCTGCACCCCGCTGCCTGTGTGTGCGTTAGTCGCTCAGTCCTGTACAACTCTTTGTGACCCCATGGACTGTAGCCCACCAGGCTCCTCTGTCCGTGGGGATTCTCCAGGCAAGAATACTGGAGTGGGTTGCCATTTCCTTCTCCAAGGGATCTTCCTGACCCAGGGATCGAACCTATGTCGCTTATGTCTCCTGCATTGACGGGCAGATCTTTTACCATTAGCGCCACCTGGGAAGCCGGCACACGGGATCTTAGTTTCCCGACCAGCGAACGAACTCGCTTTCCCTGCAGAGGCCGCTGAGTCTTAACCACTGGACCACCAGGAAAGTCCCTCAAAGTAATTTTTTTTTTTTTTAAGTGGCGGTGATGGGAGAGCACCAGGTAAGACTAAGGAGCCGGCCTGGACTCTCCTCTGGGTCTCCCTTTCCTCCGGAGCCACTGCTCCGAAGCTTAGCCACACCGCCACCAGGAAGCCCCTCTGGACTCCCCCTCTGGACTCGACCCTTCGCTGTGCGCCCCAAACTCCCGGCGATTCCCCAGGCACCCGCTGGAGGAGAAGGGTTCATCTGTTTGTCTTCCAGATCTGCCCGCGGGCTCTGCCAGCTCCGACATCTGGCCCTCCCCTCTGCCTCCCGGGGGGACCCAGCTGAGTGCAGCCCGCCAGGACCGCCGGCGACAGACGGTCTCTCCGGCTTCCCCCGGGGCTGGCCGCGCTCGGGTTACCACCCAGTGGTCTTGCACGTTAGCGGGTGCTAGCACCGCCACGACACCACCTCCGTCTTGGCGGAGCCCGGGGAACTCCGCGCCAGGTCAGCTCCATAGCACTCCGTTGGGCAGGGGGCCGGAGCAGGGCGGACAACCCTACTACCTCCCCCTACCCGCCCGCACGGGTCGGGGCCCGGCGCCCGCAGATCCGGGAGAATCTTCCCGGATCATAGCCTCTCGGGCGGCACGGGGAGCGGTGGAGTCCGGGGGCCAGGAAGTCAGGCCGGGGGTGGGCTGGAGTCTGGAGCCCCTTCTCCTCGGGGGCCGGGAGGGGTGGGGCTCCCCGCTGCCCCCGCCCCGGGGGCGGAGCCGAGGTCCGAGCCTGCAGTACTTGAGACCCGGCGAAACTGGCGTGGAGCTCCCAGCCCAGCTTCCGCCTTCCACTGCCCGGCCTCGGACCGTGGAAGACCCGACCCCGCTTCCCGTGTCCACCACCGGCCAGACCCGGCCTCCCGGGTCCCCGGCTCGGCTCACGGGCCCCGGGGCAGGTGCAGGTGCGGCGCCCGCATCTTTCTCCCACTCGGGCTCACCCCGCCGGGCGGCCATGGCGCGAGGAGACGCCCCGCGGGACAGGCAAGTTGGGGGCCATGTGGGGTGCGGCATATGGGGATCCGGCGGCCGTGGGCAGCGCAGAGCCGCTCCCTTTGGAATCTCTAAAGCGCAAAGAAGACCAGTTGGAACTACACTTCCCGTCAGCCCCCTGCCTCGGGTGCCTGAGCCTGGGTGATGGGGGTTGTAGTCCGCTCTCCGAGCGGGGTGGGGGGAGGGGGCTGGTCTGGGAGGCGGAGGGGCCGCCGGAGCGGGAAGTCCTCCGAGTGACCTTCTGTCTGATCCTCACAGCTACCACCTGGTCGGGATCAGCTTCTTTATCCTCGGGCTGGGCACCCTCCTCCCTTGGAACTTCTTCATCACAGCCATCCCGGTGAGACTCGTGGCTGGAGTGACAGATCCAAGGCCACAACCACCCGCCGTCCCTCCAGCCGCCTTTCGCCAGCACGCTGAGTGTCAGTGTCTCTGTCGGTCCGACTCGGCGACCGCAACGGACTGGAGCCCCGCCGGGCGCCTGTGTCCCCTTTGTCGGCTGAAACAGAGGGCCGCAGGGAGGAGAGGTCCCTCTCTCGTGGCTAGGGTCCACAAGCTTTCAGGAGTGCCCAGATACTAGCGCAGGGCCACCAGGTCAGGAGATCCTGTGGAGCCAGCAAGGAGCTACCCACCCACCTCTCCTCTGTCATTATTCCTGGGCTGGTCACTCCAAAAGTGATTCATTCATCCAATGTACACCTCGAGTTCTTGGCACTGGGGTTACAGGAGGAACCATAGCTGAGGAAGATTTCATCCTCACTGAGCTTACATTGTTTCAAGGGAAGGCAGGAATACAGGGCTTATGTTCTCTTCGGTAGGGGGTTGTTCTTGTGTATTAAAAGCAACAACTTTCCAGATGCCTCTTCAGTGCCTAGCTGTGTGCTGGGCCCTGGAGACCCAAAGATGAATCAGCCCCTGATCTTGAGAGCAAGATAGGTGCCAAGGAAATGTTGGTAATGTAACATGACATGTGCCATCCCAGGCTTGGAGCAGAGTCCAGCGGGTCCCCAGGGGAGAGAGCAATTCCTTCTGCTTAATAATCAGGTGATCTATAACTTGGGAGAAGGGTAGGTAAAGCATTTGTGTTGGGAAGGTGAGTGGTCAGAGAGGGGAGGGCATTTCAAACAGCCAGGAGTCTGGTGAAGGCAACAAGAGGCAGAGAGTGCCAACCTCTACAGAGAAAGGGCCAGAGCTTGGGGTGCCTGGAGCTTAGCAGGATGGAACAAGAAATGGGCCACAAAATGGAAACTAGTTCTGAAAGGCCCCAAATGCTGTTCCATAACCTTAGGGCTTTGCCCTGCAGGCCACAGCGAGCCATGGGTGGGGAGAGGGGGAGTTAAGCAGAGTTGTGGCAGGATGTGTGTTCCAGAGAGAAAGCAGTTGGTCAGCATCTGATCCAGAGTCTGGCTTATGGTTGGAGCTCCATTAATACTCAGGAATCTAGACACTGCTGCAGGAGTGGGGGTGGGGGCTGTGACCGAGCCACAGGAGAGGAGGGGTGATCCAGAGATGGAGCATGGCCCGAGTTGGGGGATCTTCAGGCTTGGGCTCTGTCCCAGACTTCGATTCAACTCCGTGCACGTTCATCGAGCTCCCACTGCATGCCAGATGCTGGGGACAGCGCAAGGACAGAGAGACAGTCCTGCAGAAGTTAACGGAGCGATCCCGGGCGTGGGAGGAGGCAGAGGAAGAAGGCTGGGGGGTTCCCGAAGGTAGGTAGGTTGTGGGGTGACCCTGTACCCTACCCCCCTGGCCTCCTGGCAGTACTTCCAGGGGCGGCTGGCGGGGGCCAACAGCACCACCGAGACCCTGGGCACCAACCACACGAGCCCCGCAGATACCTTCAACTTCAACAACTGGGTGACCCTGCTGTCACAGCTGCCCCTGCTGCTCTTCACACTCCTCAACTCCTTCCTGTACCAGTGGTGAGAGCCCCGCCCCCCTCAGTCCCAGGCCCGCCCCCTAGGTCCCCTCCCCCTTTGCTGAGGCAGCTCCATCTGGGCCCCTGCGGGGAGGCCTCCTGTCCTCCCTTCCCTCCCTCTGCGTCTTTCCCCAGCCCCCGCTGTCCAGTCCTGGGATGAAACTCTTCGCCCTCCTCCCCTTGCCTGGCCTGAGCCCAGCGGTGTCCACTCTGCCCTCCCCACTTCCAAACAGCATCCCCGAGACAGTGCGGATTCTGGGCAGCCTGCTGGTCATCCTGCTCCTCTTCACCCTGACGGCGGTGTTGGTCAAGGTGGACATGAGCCCCGGGCTCTTCTTCTCCATCACCATGGCCTCTGTCTTTTTCATCAACTGTGAGCACCTCAGCCCTTCCCCACTTCCCCACTCTGCACCCCCCAGGGCTTCAGCCGAGCCTCTTCTTGTAATTGAAAGGACCCAAAGGGAAGACAGAAGAAACATCACACATATCTCCGATGAGAAACCGAGGCCCAGAGGAGAGGAAAAGTCACTTGTCCCAGGCCCCGGAGTGACCTGAGAGCAGGTCTTCTGGCCCCCAGCCCCTCACACCCAGGGCTGCACCTCGGAAGAGGAATGCACGTGGGGTGTTACACCAGAGTGCCCAACCTAGTCCAGAGTCCCCTGTGCACCCAGCCAACACCCCCTCCAGGGAGCCCTTGAGGCCTGCCTAGATGAGCAGCAACCCCCAATCCTGTCCTTCCACAGCCTTCGGTGCAGTTCTGCAAGGCAGCCTCTTCGGGCAACTGGGCACCATGCCCTCCAAGTACAGCACCCTCTTCCTCAGTGGCCAGGGCCTGGCTGGGATCTTCGCTGCTCTTGCCATGATCATATCCATGGCCAGTGAGTAGACTTGGGTGGCAGGCTGGGATTCCAGGGAGCAGAGCGTGTGCTAAGGGTAAGATGCCTTGGGTGGTGGTGAAGACAGAGGTGATGGGGTGATGGGGGAGCTGGGGATTGGGTGTGGGGCTCTTGAGTCCTACCATGAGAGGATGATGGATGAGGACTGGGTTAACTTGGGGCCCAGGGCAGGATTCCTGAGGCCAGCACTGGCCTGTGGCAGCAGGTTGAGGTTGAGGGAAGAGGGGACAGATGTGGGATTCAACCGGGTCTGAACTCCGGTTCCGCTGTTCTCTAGCCAGGGGCATTGGATAAGGCACTTACCTGTGTTCGCTTCCCAACCTGAATGATCCTTACAGCTCCATAATCAGATTGTAAGGAGCGTACATTTATAATGAGCACATAGTAAGTGCTCAACAAAAATGACATGTGGGATAGAGCGAGAGATGCGAAGGGCTAGGCCAGGGCCCCCTGCACAAGGGTCCTGAGTGTCAGTGGGAGGAATGGAAGAGGCCGGGAGGTGAATCTGAGACGTGTATTCTGCGAAGTAGAACAAGCTCCCTGTGGGAGCTGGTGGACAGTCACCTCCCTTCTGCAGCTGAAGTCTCTGCACAGGTGGCGTGGATGCCCAGACGTCCGCCCTGGGGTACTTCATCACGCCCTGCGTGGGCACCATCATGTCCATCGTGTGCTACCTGAGCCTGCCTCACCTGGTGAGCCTGGTATTGGGCTCGAGGCCCACTTTGGAGCATCACAGATACCGCCCTGAGTCTGAGGTCCTGAGAGAAGCCAAAGGAGGCAGAGGGGCCCAGTCCTGATCCCCAAAGGACTCAGCCACTGGGGGACCCCAGCCTCTAAGTCAGCAGGGTGGGGAGGGATCCAGGCACCTCAGCCCAAGCCAGGCAGGGACAACGCTTTCCTTCTGCAGAAGTTTGCCCGCTACTATCTGGCCAAGAAACCATCGAAGGCCCAAGGTCAGGAGCTGGAGACCAAAGCTGAGCTCCTCAAATCTGGTGAGCCCAGGACCCTGCCGGGGAGGTGGAAGAGACAGGGGAGGCTGGAGCCATCTCCACAGGGAAGCATTGCACCTCTGTCCCCAACTAGAGCCCTCATCTCTAGGAGCCTTGAGTGAGCAGAGGCAGATGATCTTGAAGGGAAGTCAGGGGGATTGAAGTCATCCGTTCAGTTCCCCTTTGGGCCTCAGTTTCCTCCTCCATAAAATGGGGAGGCAGCAGAGCTTCAGGTCTGCAGGTCCTAGATCCAGATGTGTCTGAGTTTAAATCCTAGCTTCACGACATCCAAGCTGTGTGACCTCAGTCGAGTCACATAACCCCTCTGAGCTTCAGGTTTTTTTTTTTTTAAATAAAGCAATGGTAGTGGAATAATCCATCTAAGGTGCTTAACTGTGCCTGATACATGCATGAACTTTAATAAACAGTGAAAGTGAAAGTGTTAGTTGCTCAGTTGTGTCTGACTCTTTGTGACCCCATGGACTGTAGCCCACCAGGCTCCTCTGTCCATGGATTCTCCAGGCAAGAATACTGGAGTGGGTGGCCACTAGGGAAGATCCAGGGGGACCTTCCCAACCCAGGGATCGAACCTGGGTCACCTGCATTGCAGGCAGTTCTTTACCAACTGAGCCACCAGGGAAGCCCAATAAATAGTAGGTCGGCATATTTCCATTAATTCTCTTGGCCTGCCCCTGGGCTGGTGGAGGGTCACTTGTTTTAACTGCTTGGAATCTCCCCTCCTCCAGCCTGGTTGTCACAGGCATGACCCTGCCCTCTCCTCTTGCCCCAGATGAGAAGAATGGGATTCCCAACAGCTCCCAGAAGGCAGCCCTGACTCTGGATCTTGACCTTGAGAAGGAGGCAGAGATGGAACCAGAGGAACCCCAGAAGCCAGAAAAACCTTCAGTTTTCATCGTCCTCCGGAAGGTTTGGCTTGGATACAACCCCCAACCCTCATCCCTGGGGAAGAGAGAGCTGCTCTCTCCAGCCTACCCCAGAGCCTCTTAGAACGGACTGCAGCCTTAGTACTCAGCTTGTCCACCAGAGGTGACGGGGTCATGGCGGGTCAGGGACACACTGGCCCAGGCCCCAGTGTCCCAGTCCTGGGGCCAAGGCTGGGGTGGAGGGGTCGGGGCTGCGTGCTGGGCTCCGAGCCTGGCGGTGCGCTCACCACCATCTCCGGCTCCCAGATCTGGCTGACGGCACTATGCCTCGTACTGGTCTTCACAGTCACCCTGTCTGTCTTCCCGGCCATCACCGCCATGGTGACCAGCTCCACCAGTCCTGGAAAGTGGAGTGAGTGGTGGGAAGTGGGAGGGGACAGGGCAATGGGACTGGAGGGGAGAGAGGGGAGTGGGCAGCCTGGACCAGGATGAGCCCCCTCTGCCCCCACCCCCAGGTCAGTTCTTCAACCCCATCTGCTGCTTCCTCCTCTTCAACGTCATGGACTGTCTGGGACGGAGCCTGACCTCTTACTTCCTGTGGGTGAGCACGTCTACTGGGGTGATCGGATGTTTGGAAAAGCAGTCAGGGATCAGAGTGTGAGAAAGAGCGCAGAAGGGTGACTTCCCAATACTGACTGGCCCGGGTCTGGGTTTGGTAATGGAACAGCCAGTTAGCACAGAGCACCGGCCCCTGGAGGCATGCAAGCCAGGGCTCGGACTGTGAACTCTCTGAAAGCAGAAGCCCTGTCCAGCTGATCTGTGTCTCCAGCATCCAGCTGAGGGCCCAGCCCCGGGCGCTTGGAGAGTGTTACTCGGAGAGGTTCCTGTACCATGTGAGAGGTCAGACAGGATTCCTAGTATTTGGATTGCTTTTTGCCATGATGCCCCTTCTTTCAATGAAATCTTCCAAGGACACACAACAAATATAGTAGATCAAAGAGGAGCTGCTCTGATTGGGTCTGGATCCCCAGTTTCCAATCCCATCTGCCCCAAAGGGTTCTTTGGAACCCCCAGGGGTGCTCAGTGCAACCAACTTGGAAAACCATAGACGTTCTTCTAGTTCTGCCACTGAAAGAGCACAGATTGGCGCTCAGGAGAGGCAGAGGCTGGGCGCTTATGGGCTGGGAGGCCTTGGCCCTGCCCCTCACTCTCCAGAGGCTCCCGTGCTGGGTCCTCCCTGGTTCACACGGGGTAGGCCAGGGGAAGTGATAGTTGAATCTCTCGGGAGGGGGGTGGCCCGGAGCAGAGGCCTGGCTCCCGGGGACCGCCCTCACCCCCGCCCTCTGCCGCAGCCCGACGAGGACAGCCGGCTGCTGCCCCTGCTGGTCTGCCTGCGCGTCCTGTTCGTGCCGCTCTTCATGCTGTGCCACGTGCCCGAGAGGTCCCGGCTGCCCATTCTCTTCCCCCAGGACGCCTACTTCATCACCTTCATGCTGCTCTTCGCTGTCTCAAATGGCTACCTGGTGTCCCTCACCATGTGCCTGGCGCCCAGGTCTGGGGAATGGGGAGGCGAGTGACGGGCTTGGGAGCAGGGAGATGGGCTTGGTCTTGGAGAGGGACAGCCGCCAAGGGTTCGGCTTCCGGCCAGCCCGGCCCGAGCTGTTTCTCCAGGCCTCACTGGTGCCCCGCGTCAGGTCAGGCCCTCACTGCTGAACTGGCCCCAGGCCAGGAGCTGAGGAGCAGGGGACTCGGCTGGGAGGTTCCTGCCTAGTAAAGCAGCCCAGGCCGATTCTGGGGGCTCCTCTCTGGTCCTCAGTTTCCCCTCTGTGAGTTAACAGGTTGCACTGTCATTCCTTAAGGCCCGGCTACTCTCCCACATTCCCAGTTGCAGGGGACCCAAGGTTGAGGCCACAAGCAGTTCCTGGGCTGCTCACCCTGGGGACAAGGGAGCATAGAGGGGAAGACCAGGTGGGGGGCATTTTGCCAAGAAGGAAGGCAGGGGCATCTGGACCCCAGAGGCGTGAGAGATGTCCGTTTCCAGTGGCCCCATTTGACAGATCAGGAAGCTGGAGTCCAGAGGGAAGGGCCTCGCTGTAGTGGCCCGGAAGTTGGGCCAGCCCGGACTGGAAATCATTCATCCTGTTGTTAGAGGGGCAGAGGGCACGGGGCTGGGTCCAGGGCGGGCCTGACATTTTTCTCAGAGCTCCTCTCCTGTGTATCCCAGGCAGGTGCTGCCACAGGAGAGGGAGGTGACCGGCACCCTCATGACCTTCTTCCTGGCGCTGGGGCTCTCTTGTGGCGCCTCCCTCTCCTTCCTCTTCAAGGCGCTGCTCTGAAGCGCTCCATCAAAGGCTCTCCCAGTGTCTCTATTCAGAGCTGAGGCCCAGCGCTGGGGAATGACGGGCCAGGCTCAAGCCTCCACTGGGCCAGGTGGGCGGGGGCCCTGTGGCCTGAGGGCTCCAGCAAGAGGCGGGCACAGCTCTCCTTCCTGGGCTGGCGGCCACCTGGAGTGCTGCTAGGAAGAATTCACCGCCTGCCATTCCAGCCCTCACCCAGGAGTGGAGCTGACGCACTATCTGGATGCACATAAAACCTCACTGAAAGGGTGATCATCAGGGAAAAGAAGGCCTAGGATCACGGCCCATCCTCACCGTCAGGACTGCGTTTGTTAATCACAACAAACCCACTGGCGAGTCGCCGGGACTCAGAGGCCACAAGTGGAGTCTTGCCAACCACGTGGCTGGTATGGACATGGCCTCAGAGTCCGTGTGGGTGTGGGGGCCAGTCCAGAGCAGGACCTCCTCTTCTCTCCAGGCCTCAATGACCCCTTGGTCAGGTCTCTCAGACACCCAGAACAGAGGAATCCAGGGAGGTTGAGGGGACGGGGGAGAAGGAGTTAGGGATCTGAGGGAGCTCAAAGGACCCTCCGGGCCTCAAACAGTGTCTACGTCACCAGGACTCGCTATGTCTACTCCCTGGAGCCCGGCTGGGCCCGGGTCCCAGAACTGCAGTTAGCCTGCAGGTGTGAGCTGCATTTTACAGTTTGCAAAACTCTTTCGACCCTGCCCTTTCGCTGAAGCCACGTTGAGGCCCTTGGAGGGAGGCTGGCAGGAACTGTGCCCTGCTCTGTACAGGTGAGGAAACCCAGTCCCAGGGGGAATGACCAGTTCTTGGCAGAGCCAGGACCCGGTCCCCACCTCCCTGTAGGTGCTGTTCTTCCTGCCCTCTGCCTGCTTCCCTTTTCTTCAAGGGGTTCAAGGCGAGAGCCCTGAACACTTACTTCACCGTTTTTTTGCTTGTTTTTCCCTCGGATCCTGCTCCTGGGTCTAATAACAACCGTCTTCATTTGTACAATGATCTCACTGAGTCTTTGTTTCCAAAGCACTTTCAGTTCTGTTGGCTTTGATGAGCTGGGTGTGGTGGGGATGATTGTACCCATTCGACAGATGGGATGACCGAGGCCCTGAGAAGGGAAGGGATTTGTGGGCATCCCTGGGCTGGGCCTTCCTGGCCACATGATGGCCAAGGGGTACTGGCTTGCAAGAAGCCCTGTACTCCCAGACAGACTGCCTGGTTGCATGGATAACTGACTCTCTCCCCGCACCAGTGTCCTCTGCCTCCCCAGGCTCCCCGCTTCTCAGAAATGGAGCCTCAGAGATACAGTCAACCAGTTCTGCAGAGGGACAGAGGAAACGCCTGCTTTGCCACACATCTGTGCTACCCTGCCCAGGGCAGGGAAGAGCAGGGTGTTTGAGATTACCAGCATGGACCTTTCTACCCATTTGCCCTCCTGCCTCCCGCAGCCACTCAATGAGCAGCTATTATAAACCAGGTGATGGATCAGCGCCAGGCCCTGCTCAGAAGCCAGAGGCTGCTTTGCAACCAAAGAGGAAAGTGAAGCAAGACTTGACCTGGGGGACTTCCCCAGTAGTCCAGTGGTTAAGAATCTACCTTGCAATACAGGGGATGCAGGTTTAAATCCTTGTCGGGAAGCTAAGATCCCACATGCCCAGAGGTAACTAAGTTCATGCTACAGCTAGAGAGCCTGAGTGTCACAGTGAAAGACCTGGTATGCCGCAATGAAGATCCAGTGCAGCCACACACACACACACACACACACACACACACACACAAAATATGCGATCTTGGGAACTGAAATAAAGACACAGGGCCAACTCCAAGTGAGGATTCATTCCTTCGACCATTAGTCACTGTGCCAGGTTCTGGGTGGTCTGACAACCCTGAAACAAAGGAGCTGTGACCCTACTCCCAAGGCCATGGGAAATAGAATGTAACTTGTGATAGGGCTTGTGAGGACCCTACAAAATGTGTAATATGAGATGCTAGAGGAGGGGGCCATTGATCTCACTGGGAAGTTTGGGCAGGCATCCCTGAGGAGGTGTCCTCTGAGCTGGGCGTTGAGGGATGAATATGAGTTTGCTGGGCTAAGGTGGGGGATGGGCAACCCAGGCAGACGCACCGGAAAATGCAAGGCCTGGATGGATGTGGAATATTCAGGGGACAGTGGGGACTTCTGGCAGCAGGGCAGGGAGTGTGGGGAGTCCCTAGGGTGTGAGAGAGGGGAAGGGGCAAGGATAAGGCTGGGGCAGTGGGCTGCAGACAAATGATGACGGGCCTTAGGGGTGAGGCCTAACCAGGGAATTAGAGGAGGAGACATAAAGGAGAAGAGGTGGCTCCCTCTACAGAACCATTTAACTTGGTGATTTAAGTGCGTGTGCCCTGACTCAAGAGTCCTGGGTTTAAGTCAGGCTCTTTCCCAGCAGTGGGAACAGGGATTCCTGAAGACTGGAGTACTGAGAAAGCACTGAAGTACAGGTTGACATTTACTAAATGGTAGCTGTAGTCCAGAGAATATTTCGTACAGACCACTAAGCCTAACTGGACCCTTTGGCTGGGACTGGTGGGAGCAGGACCCCAATACTTCCAAGGTCCCCTTCTCTTCTTCACCTTCAGAGACTACTGTCTGTTGTACTCAAAAGCTCCCTAGACCTGCCAGACCCAGCCAACCTGGGGAACCCAATGGTGCTGGTCCATGGCCCTCTGGTGCAAGCCCAGGTGGGGCTGAGCAATGGAGGATGGGTACAGAAAGAGAACACCCACCCCTCAGATGCCCTTATGATGTCACAACCTGGAATTCCTTCTTCCGGTCCTCCTCCTACTCAGCCCAACTTTCTCATCAGATCAGGATGCAGCTGGGCTTGATGTTAGAAACAAATACTTGAAAAATTTTTTTAAATAAAATAAAAGGGGGCTTCTCCGGTGGCCCAGTGGCTAAGACTCTGCACCCCCAATGCAGGGGACCTGGGTTTGATCCCTGGTCAGGGCACTAGATCCCACATGCTGCAACTATAAGATCCTGCGTGCCACAACTAAGACCCAGGGCAATCAAATAAATAATAAAACCTACTTTTTAAAAAAGAAACAAATACTTGGGCTGAGGGGCTCCACTTGCTGCTCCCTCTGCTGATGCCCAGCAGCACCCCCTCCCTGCCCACTGCCACCTCCCCAGCCTGACACAGCTCCGCCAACAGGTCCAGCTTCCCTCAGAAGCAGCCAGTGCCCATGAGCAAACAATTGGAGCGGGCTCTGATTGGAGGGCACTGAGTCAGGCTCATGGAGGGACGCAAACATTGGAAGGCCAGTCCTTATCCTCAAGCTGCTCGCCCTTTCATGAGATGGACACTTCCTGGTTTTGTAAATGGATTTGGCTCTCCAATTAAAAGTCAGAGATTGGACTTCCCTGGTGGTCCAGTGGTTGAGCATCAACCTGCCATTGAAGGGGACACAGGTTAGATCCCAGGTCTGGGAAGATTCCACATGCCATGGGGCCACTAAGCCCATGCTCTCTACCACTTTAGAGTCGAAAACACAAATAGGTTGAAAGTGAAAGGATGGAAAAAAGATATTGTGTGCAAATGATAAGCAAATGACAGTTGAGGTGGATATACTAATATCAGAAACAAAAAAAGATATTCAAAGTTGTGCTGAGTATACCGGGAAGGAGGACCGGAAGAAGGATTTCCAGGTTGTGACATCATAAGGGCATCTGAGAGGTGGGTGTTCTCTTTCTGGACCCATATTCCACTGAAGCCTGAGCACCTAGAGTCTGTGCTCTGCAACTAGAGAAGCCACTACAATGAGAAGCCTGAGAACCAAACTAGAGAAAAGCCCACACAGCAACGAAGACCCAGCAGAACCAAAAGTAAATACATTTTATTTAAAAGGAGTCAGATTGTCAGAATGGATTTTTAAATGATTCAACTACATGCTCTCTACCACTTTAGAGTCAAACACACAAATAGGTTGAAAGTGAAAGGATGGGGAAAAGGTATTGTGTGCAAATGGTAAGCAAACGATAGTTGAGGTAGGTATACTAATATCAGAAACAAAAAAGACTAATTCAAAAATCATTCAAGAAACAAAGAAGGATGTTATGTATTTATAAAAGAGTAAGTCCATCAAGAAGATATAATAAGTATATACACACCTAACAATAAAGTCCTAAAAAATATGGAGCAAAAATTGAAAACATTGAAGGAGAAATAGACATTTATACAATAATAGAGACTTCAAGATTCCACTTTCTTTTTTTTTTTTTCAAGATTCCACTTTCAAGAAAGGGTAGAACCAGACAGAAGAGCAACAAGGAAACAGAGGACTTGAACACACATGAAACAAATAGGCCAAAGAGACCTATACACACAACACTCTACCTAAAAATAGCAGAATATACCTTCTTCCCAAGTGCACATGGAACATTCCCCAGGAGAGATCATACATTAGGCCACAAAACAAAGCTGCAATAATTTTTAAAAGACTAAGATCACACAAAGCATCTTTTCCACTTACAGTGGAATGAAACTAGAAACCAATAATAGAAAAACTGGAAACTTCACAAATGTGTGGAAATTAAACAACATTCCCCTAAACAACTAATTGGTTAAAAAAGAAACCAAAAGATAAGTTAGAAAATGCTTTGAGACAAATGGAAATGGAAACAACATACTAAATTTTATGGGATGCAGCAAGAGCCATGCTGAGAGGAACTTGTTGGTGTCAATGCCGACATTAAAAAGGAGGAAGTATCTTAGGCAAATTAAACCCAAAACTAACAGAAGGAAGGAGATGCTAAAGATTAGAGTGGAGGTGAACAAAATGGAGGATGGAAAAACAACAGAGAAAAATCAATGAAACCAAATGTTGGTTCTTCGAAACAATAAAATTGAGACACTTTTGAGTTGTTTAAGAAAAAAAGAGAAGATTTAAAAATTACTAAAATCAGAAATGAAAGGGGCATTACTTATACAAAAATAAA